ATTGTACGAAAGCACCTTCAAGTAACAATCAAGATAGCGTGCTGTATCCATATTGGGAAAAATATCTTGGGGGCTGTTTGGATGTTTCTTGTTGGGGGAGGGGACTGATGCTACCCCTACACTCTAAACCATTAACATTCTCTGCTTTCTGCATGCAAAGTTGCGGAGGCCTGTTTGGATCAGTTCAGTCATCTGGGATCCAGGATCATGTGCAAAGCAGAGTTATTACATGGTTTAGCCGGGTTTTGCTTCAGGGTTCTGGGCAGTTGTGGGGTTGAGAGTGTGACCAGACATCCCCAGACCCGAAACTAGGACCGCAGAGGTCCCTCTCATGGTTTCCGTACTGGACACGCTGGAAACCTCCCAAGCAGACGATGGCAACGAACATCCCCACCCTCATGAATGATATTCCCAGAGAATTACAATGAAATTTCAGGGGTATAGTGGCTATAAAGGGCGGCGAGAATTACGTCATTAAGGACAATCAAGGGTAAGTAAAGGGCCAGTAGGGGGCCATCACACCTTGTTCGCATTATTCAGGGTGCAGTTCGGAACTTGCGAGTTCTCTAAACTCCAAACCCAGTCAGGACTCTCTGGCAGTTATCCAACGCAAGCCAGCACAGCGCTTTTCTCCACTACCTCGCGTCAACGCAGACTCCGCGGCTCAGCAAAGCGCTCTCTCTGTATGCCTGATTAGGTGTTCTCTACATGTTCTCCTTCGCTGGCTGAAAGAAAGTCGTTCAAAGGAGACACTGGTGGGGGGGGTCTCCATGAGAGCTTCACAACAATAATCAAGGTAGTAGCAGCATTAATGATAAGACTAACATACGTACATATGATACTATAAGAAAATCGTAAACTATAGTACACTATGATATACTGTGGTATGTGGTAGGCTGTTATAGAGATCTTCATGAGAGCTTCTGAAGACTAGGGATTGCTTGTTGCTAGGTTCATGTGATGAGGCTCCCGATACTTTGGCAGATGCGAGGGGACCCCTATTCCTGAGACCTATCACAGTGTTGGTCCTCGTGACAAATTTCCGCTGCCAAGGAACATTGCAAGGTTAAGAACAAATTCAAAGCTGCAGGCCGCAGGAAAGGTTTCAGCGCCTAAGGCCAGGGCAAAAACTGGTTTTAGATCAGAAAGGGTTTGGGGGTTTTGGGCAGAGAATTGCTCTGTTGGCTGGATAAACTTTTGGGTTTCGGGCGACAATGCATTGATCCCTGGCTTTTGGCGTTGGAACAACCACTTAAGCAGGACCTTTACGCTGGGTTGGGCGAATTGTTTACATCTTTTAAGAGCAGATTGCTCGAAAGGAGTTTGGCGATGCATGGCTGGTGAAAACCGAGAACCCCGGCTTACAAATCATAGCTACTTAATCTCAACCCTAAACCTGGGCCTCCAACTTACCCCCTAACTACACAACCATGAACCCTCACTGGCAAGCACGAAGCGCCAACACCCTAAGCCTAAACCAGCTCCGATTGCCTGCAACGGCTGCAGCACCTTCGCCGTCCTTGTCGAGCCTTGCACATGAGCTATGGGCGGATAGACTTATACTCATGCTTGGTTGGCTGAGCTTGAGTAGGTGGAAAATACGCAGCGAAGCGGATCCGAATCCTGCACATGCAAGGAATAGATGGGTCTTGCTTTGGTCAATCTCTCACTTGCTTGAACTTGGACAAACAGGACAGACTGGCAGACCGCCATGGCCAAAGATCCATGGTCTGCCTCTTACATCGTCAACCAGGATCATAATTAACGTGCGCACTAGCCCCTATAAAAGCCCTTCATCCATTTCTCTACCCAGCTCCGTCATGCCCCAGATGAACACCCAGCAAGTTTTATCCTCAGCACCGTAACCTTCGCCACTCGCACCCAAGTGCGAAGGCATCGGCATCCGGGCCCTGGTCGCAATTCAAAGATATAGGGTTTCCAAAAATGTTCTTTTTTTTGGAGCGGGCCCGTGTTACAAGGATTGTAACATGTCATTGGGTCCCAACTTACGGAAACCCCCAATGTCTTGCTTCTGAGCAACCGTTTTCGGTTCGGCGTAGCGAAACCGGATATCGCACTGTGAATTCGCTCACAAATCGAAGCGAGCGGCCTTTGATTTTCCAAAGGCCTTGTCACAAAAGAGTCATGGAACGAGCTCGATGGAACGATCCTCACTGAGAGGTGGCAGGCTCTTCGGCTGGGGACCTCCTGGCGTTTTTGAAACGCCAGCAGCCAGCACACAAAGCGGGACGTAGGCCCTTGAGGCACACGATCGCCTCTTTCTTGGCCAGCTCAACCGTAGCAAAAGCAACAGAATGACTTTCATATACTTTCATCATGCGTGTTGCAACCATGCAAAACTTTGCTGCAGGGATCATGCTCACACTTGTGTTGGCCGCCAATTCGGCCATTGCAAAGATTTCAACTATGTTTGTTGATGCTACTCTTCACCCAGGACGACTTGAAGTGGCCGTCCATCCAGGCAGTTGTCCGCAGGCTCTTCTTGTCCATGGGGGTTCCCGATCACGGCAGCGGGAGCGGTAGCAGATGATGCCGCCGAACCTCGCTTTGTCTAATTTGCGGGGAGGTGAGGCGCACCAAAGGACCAAAGGGATAGAGCTACATGTCAGGAGCTGCGTGCCACGCCAATGGTACTTAGGGCCTGGAGCACAATCCTCCCAAAAATGTCACCGCTTAATGATCATGATCTTCCTACTTCCCCCTCCAAATTTCAACTGCTTCCCATTTGAATAGGTTTTTTGTTCAGTAAGCAGGTAGGCTGGGACTACCAGACACACATTTCGGGACCCTGGAGTTAGGTGACATATTATATCCGACCCTTAATCACGCCATTGAGTCGTAACCCTCCTGTAACCTTTCATAAGCAATTCCCTAAACATCCCTAGTCTATTTGTAACCCGGCTTCCGACAAAGAAGAAGCACCCCCAAACCCTGAACCCTAAAACCCTAAACCCTAAACCCCAAACCGTGAGGACGCTTGAACCGAGGCTCCATGAGGCTCCTTCTTCTTTGCCTTCCTGGGGAGGAGCCCCCGGAAAACCCCAAGAATGTATGCAGGCTACAAAGGGATTAGGGAGGTCCCTGCTAAGGATTCCACCAAAGGATTCTACCAGGGCAATTTTGAGAAACTCCCTCCTCTTCACAGCAGCTTTGGCCTTCTTTCCGGTCTGGGTTCTGGTCGGTGGTGCCGCTGAATCAGCAAGGTTCACATTCGCGGTTTCAGCTGAGTCAATGACCACACACTCAAACTCCGACGGCTCGGCCACGGCGCCTGGCACACAATGGTCGACAAATGTGAAACCCCCACACCGACTGGTACGCACCTAATGTGTATCATCCTCAGGACATACCAGAAAGGTTTCGCCCCTGCCTTTCTGCATCTTCCTCTTGACCTTCCTTCGCTTCTTGTGTGTCTCATGCGGCAAGAAAGGCATCGCATCAGCAGAGATTTCGATTGCTGCTACCACATCCTCGGTGGAGACGGCGACGCCATCCAGGTCGCCTCCGCCTACACAAGGTCGAAGGCAGGTCAAGTGAGCCCCATCTTGAGAGCATGTGGATGTTTGTCAATAAAATCGCCCTCCTCTCCCCCAGACGCTTATCACATTAAAGATGCCGAAAACCCCAGAAGCTTTCAGACCCATGCCTCAGGAATAGCTCTTCTTTTTGTCGTAAAGAAAAAGCCTCCGCGCTATGACATGGCTAACGGATCTTGCTGAGCTGGCAGGCATTGCAATTCCCAGGTGCAATTCCCAGGAATCCTAATTCCCAGGAATCCTAAACCCCTAACCCTTTCTCGCGGGCTTGTCGGATCCACTTGGTAGACGAAGCACTGACTAAAATCTCAGCCCGGCCCTTAACCCTTACCCCTAAACCCCGGACCCGGCTCCCAAAACGCGTAACCCTAAACCTCATGCTCTGATGCCTTCCTGTCCTGCCTGGCCTTTGGGCTTCCCAGCATCTGTGTTGAGAGACAAAGTCCCGGCCTCTGCCTGCAGGGCTGTCCCTCAGGGGGCTTATAAGTGGAAAGTTTGGGGTCTCAAGTAGCGCTTTGGGCTTGGGATTTAGTCTAAGGGGTTGGGATAAGTTTAGGGTCTTAGGGCATGCGGGCATACATGCCAACAGTAAGGTCTACACCCTGACTATAATTTACCGCCCCGCTGGCAGGAATTCTGCGAATCTTGGCACATAAGCTGTTCACTATCCAGGGAGCGGAGACGGCACGAACCTTTGCAGGGCCCTGCAAACGATGGGAACACCTACTCCTGATGCAGGAGGCGTGATCAGAAGGAAAAGAACAGACTCCAACATCCTCAGCCTAAGGTCTCTAGTTACGAGCCCCCTGTTTTGAGGGACCAACAGGTTGGGCTGATAGAAGGCCCTGCCTCTCTTGCTTGCAGGTTGCCTTCGAAAGCGCCAGCGGACGCCTGTGGTGCTGCATCTTCGTCTTGAAAGCTGGCGTTTCTATTGTCCAGGCTCGCCAGTCGGCTGTCTCGGGAAGGGCGCCTGAAGAGCTTTTGCAAAAGAGGCCTGAGAGGAATAAGTTTGCCAGTTTCTGCGTCGCAGCAAAGACGCAAGAAGTGGAAGCAGATTAGGTTGAACCCCAGGAGGCAGGTGAGGCCGACAACTTCCGACGTTGGCATATAACCACAAGTCGTCTTAGCAAATAGATAAGCCAACAGGGCGCAGCCTGCCGTTTCAAGCCAGCGAATGATTAGAACTAGCCAGCATGTCGCATCACGGCCGTCCAGCACAAACATCGGGAGAAACGGCACCAGGTATGCACCAGCAAAATTTATTGCAACAAGACCGAAGAAGGAAAAATTGTAGAAATGGTGGTTTACCCGAACACTGCACAACATGGCGCTTGTAGCTGCTATCGAGGCCAGGGAAATGAGCGCCAGCCCATAGGGCCGGGCGCCCTGCGAGAGCACTAGAGCCATGCTGGCAGACCTCAGGGCCTGGTCGCTGGCAAGCCAGAGGAAAGACATGGCATAGTAGACAGGATTCTGCAAACGTTTTTGCTTTGCGTCGCTGCGAAGGCTCAGAGTGCCATGTACCAGCGCTAGGACCGAGATCCCCAGTGAGACAAGCTTCACTGGATCCCCGTGGGAACCCACGGCGAAAAGGATGTAGGCTTGAAAGCACAACTGGGGAGTCCTTTCGCATGCTTTCGTAGCGAACTCACGCAAGAACATCATGAACCCGCGAGCATCCTTGCTGTCATCCAGCGAAGGAGGCCCGAGGTGGAAGACCAAAGCAATGTCTACTATGTAATGAAACTGCAAGAAGGCCAACACGAACAATGCAATGGGGCATGTCGCAAACGATCCAAGTGGGGTCTTAGGCTTTCTGAGAACGGAGACAGCACCCCATACCCAAATCACACTCTGCAAGGAGTTCGACACGACCAGGAGGGAAAGTCCAATCCCGAACCAGGCTGGATGCGCCTCACAAGCTTCAGATCCAACGGCTGGGACAGCTGCGAGTCTTGCCCCAATCAAGCAGCCATATTGCAGCACCACCCATGTATCCGAGATGAGATCCATCACGTTGAGGCAAGCGGTGAACATCAAGCCGAAGACAACTTTAGCCGTCTCCGGGATCTGCGGCAGCTCTGGCAGAGTGCAACACCTCTCTGACTTGTCCTTTTCTGAAGGATCAAGATCCATCTCCATGCTACAGATCTGGCCTCGCAACTCTGAGCAACGCTGATGATCTTTTGGACCTCGAAGTCCAGGATCAACTTCGTGGTATCACGCTGCCCGAACTGCAACAATGGCCTTCAAGCGCCACGCTGTCGGTAGAACTTGCTGCTTGTCCCTACTTGCACAACACTTTACTGCCTAGTACTTGTTGAGGCTAGGACTTCGGGGTGCTTGCGCGCATGATGTGCGGAACGTCCAGCCCTTGCCTACCCTGTGCTGAGCCGCAAACGGAGGATCACCAGCAAACGGATGCATGACATCCGTCCAAGAAGATCCTATACCTGCTAATGCAAACTTACAATATTATATAGGTGGCTCGCGACCATGCTCTGGTTGCCAAAGTGTTCGTCGAAACCAACTCCAACAAGTTAGGGCTTGCATCCCGTCGCTGATAGGAGAATCTCTAGCATGAGCTGGGAAGAAAAGAGGTGGCCACCTACGGCACAAGCCAGCTACTGCAGGTCTAAAGGCCAAGCGCGCAGCTCAAGGCAAATGAGCCATAGTCTTGACTCCTGGTGTCCTAGTATCCCCCTTATTCACCCCTACAAAACTCCCATATATAACTTCCTCTGTATTTAGAGTATGGCTCAAGTGGCAACAGGTCAGATCCATTGGGCATGATTTGGTGGCGGAATTAGCTGGCGATTCAAGAACTCCACTGCACCATCTGCTGCTGCAGTTTGAAGCAGCACTGCACACGAACCTCTCATCATTAATGGCACGATCATCACAGTATATGAACTATTTCGGCCCAACTATCGCTCCCAAAGCAATGTGAAGATCTGCATTGAGAAGTCCCGCGCTCACACTGAGGAGCCGGCATTGCTGCGGCGCATGTGAGTGACACATCTCAGCTTCCCTTAACCAACTCGGCTTGGGTTCTAATCAGCATGTGCCAAGATCATGGTGCCTTGTGGGGTCCTTCCTTTCGAGGAGCCCACACCCTCGGAAGTGTGTTATTAAGCGTGTCCCAATACGAAAGCAGACAGCACTGCTAGAAGAATGGCATGCAGAAGCTCCAGAAAATATGTGAGGATCTCTGAAGGAATGGTCGAAGCCAGGATCTCCGGTGGCAAAGTGTAAGGATTTCACAGTGAGACAGCGAAAAAAAACTGTAATTACTTGAATGGCTGAACCTCAAACAACCCAAGCTGCACCTTCTCCGCGACGGAGATGCTGGAAAAGCAAGAAGACCAGCCTCTAAACGACTTGAAGCCTTGCCCTGCCGTCAAAAACGCCCCTCGCAATAGACGCGCAACACCTCCCCAACGGAGCTTGAGCTGCAAAGGGTCAGCTGCCTTTTCGCGGAGTGTTGTTTAGGCTAGGCACTGAGCCCCTTTACAAGACGACACTAGCGACCAGAACACCCTGCCTGCATCCCACAGAAGCATCGCAAGGCCCAGCGAAAGACACCATTGCTACTGATTCCCTTACCATGCTCAATTTGCAGGCTCTAGGTTGTAGAATGCATCCTAAACACTGGACCTGGTTTGCTTGGTTGGCACTATCCAGGATCGTGGATCTCAGTAGTAGCAAAAAAGTTGACACTGTTTCTAGGGGCACCAATTGGCGACTTTACGCTGGACAGGGCAAGCTGAGGTGAGCATCAAAGCCTTGCTTGTGCACCTGGGTCTTGTTAACATAATGTGCTGGTTTCTTGAGTAAAGAGCCATTGCCACTGCAAGCATTCCATATGCCCAGATTTTGGGCATTTGGAACCCCAGAAAAACCCACGGAGGGCTTCTAGCAACTGGAGACCCGATGTCACGAGTTCCATGCAATAGGGGCAATACCTGCTCAGGTTGTTTTAGGGGACTCCCTCTTGAATACATCCACAATGGCTGAGGCGGGACCAGTTTTCCTTCGCGCAGTCTGGGCTCCTGTTAGGGAACTCCAATTAAGTTACCATATTATAATATATAGCAAGTAATAAGGTTTCCTTGTTACAGTAATGTAGTTTATGTGTATATTCCCATTATAGTAACTTACGTCAAGTTCCTTAAAATCCTGTACTACCCCAGTTTCCATCTCACTCTCCATTAAGTTTCCATTTGATTTTCCATTCCAGGGGGATACTATCCCCTTAAGTTCCTCAACAACAAGCCAGTCTCTCTCCTGCGGACCTTATTACAGTAACTTAATTTGAGTTCCTTTCCAGCATCCCAGCAGTTTCAAGTTCACGACGCTGATGTCCCGGCTAGCTAGGCGCCTTGCCTGCACGGCAAGGCCTGTAAACCATGGGTTGCAACACTTTAGGGTTTAGGGTTTAGAGAGTAACACGCACCATGCTAGCCACTCCCAACATAATGCCACTACAGTTTGAATTACTATGTTCAAAAGTTCGAACACTAGTGGGATGGGGGGACAGCTTTGGGGAGAAGAGATTTATGAAGCTAGTCATTGTTGACATATCACCCTCAGCATACACCAGGTGGGATTTGATTATGGACGCCAACCCATACACTCACAACGTGCGAACCCTCCTTACACTTGCCAATACGGACTGAACTCATACAGTGATTTCCCAAAATATGGGACCCCGATATAGACTCCAAAACATATACTACAACCCAATGGCTGGAAGTTCTGGACGCTGGGCTTTCTGTCCAGAGTGCCCTCACGAGATGAGGTGAGAGGTCTACAGCCTCAGTGACTCAGGGCAGGTTTGGGATCTTAGGCATTAGTTGGGGTTTTGAAGGTTTAGGGGTTCAAGCTTTTAGGCTTTCCAGCTTGTGTCTTAATGCTCAGGGTTTAGGGTGAAATTGAATGAAGTTTCCCGGAGACTGTCTGGGACATATGGCGGATACTCTTGGTGGAGGAAATCCTGCATCACCCTATGTAAGCCCTCAACTTCAAAGAAATTTCAGGAGCCTTCACTGATGAATCATTTCCTCCATCTACAGTATGTGGTAGTTCCAAGTAGGGCGGCAACCCCGATGACATATGATTGACAGTGACAAGTCCGAAACTCATGCAACCGTTGTTATACGCATGTGCTCCCTTCACTCTCTTTCAAAGAAGCAGATTGTTTGCATAGGTGAAAATCCCAAGCTGATCAGTGCAGACCCCAAACTTGCTCCCTGTTCCGGCCAGGGCCTGCCGCAAGCTGAACCTCAATGCCAAAGCCTTTTCTTGGGGCCCCCCAGCTCTGCACCACAAACCCAAAACCCACAACCCTCAACCCTGGAATCTGGAAACCTTGCACTGCTAAATCTGAAAGTTTTCCCTTCTGCGCCTGATTACTCCAAGCTTGATTTCTTTTCTCAGCCTGAGTTCACAACCAA